TTTGGTGCAGTTGTGGGCAAAGCGACTATGTTGGAGAAATCGGAAGACTACTCTGGACGCGGACGGCCGAGCACGCAGCAACAGTGAGGAGGAACGACGCCAGCTCCCAAGTTGCGGCTCATTCGATGGGGCTTAATCCCACATTCAAGTTTTACAAGGTAGAAATTCTTCTTAAAGATAACAACCGCATGGGCTACGAACTGACTGAGTCATGGTTTTCCGGTCCTCAATCAATCAACACGCGCAACGACCTCCCCCTTCTATATTCGGTGCTGAGACCTTGCCAAGGCGAATTAGTTAACCACGCGGAGAGAACGCGGATGACCGCTGTTCCTGGCGTCAATATTGATGAGTCAAATTGCCCAAGAATCCACACGGACGACGAAATCTGGCAGTCAGCAACTTGACTGCGTGTGATGAGCGCGGGAGCCGATAATCATGACCGGCACACAAGCGCATGGCGACTGCATACTTCAACACCTGGCCAGTCGAGCCGTGATGCACTCCGGAGCTGCCAACTATGATAGGAATGTAGCGGCCTAGCAACTACATCCTATAAGTACTGTAAAACAGGGGAATTTACAACCCGTATCTGACTCTGTCTCTGATGGATTCGAGTGAGAATCCGAAAGCTCTCGTTCCAACGATGGTGTTTCCTTCCTCGCGACTACTTCGTGGAACTCGCCTCTTCTCTTCTATTAGCAAATCGGAATCCTCAACATCCAGGCCACGTCGATGCAAATTCAACCACGACAGAGCGGTGACGTCGTGATGATGGACAACGAGTGCCTACCCAGGCGGCTATTCCTTGGTGACGTTGCACTATGTTACCGTTAACATGAAGGATAATAACGTTACAAGGATACTCTGAAAATTTTCCTCAAGAATCTGCAAAGCAACCCTGAGGTCTTGGAGGATCTCACCCAGTACCGACCGGCGTAAAGGACAGCAATAGAGACTGGAGCGACACCCTATACAACCAAATTGATCGCCACTGCCAAAAGAGTGTCTCGCAAGTCTCAAGCGCCTCCGACTCACCAACAGTTTAACCGTGTGCTCCACAGCAAGGTGGAGCAAGCATGGTGAGTTGCGCGTGATTTAGTTTACAGTGAGCGTAGAATTACGCGTAGAAGCGTGCTCTTCGACTCCTTCATGTAGTCTTTATGGCCCTCTGCTAACACATGTCCGGGCTCAGCAGCCCATCCCCTATGTGAAAACCCGGTGCTGTGTTGGGGGTCAGGTCGTGTACTTACTTGTACTTGATACGGCTGCGATCATGCCTGATCTAGTCGGCCTCAATGATGTCCCGAACTGTACCTCTCCACGCGTGACGACCCGCGGCAGCAGATCTGGACAGCTCAGCCCATTCCCTTCGCCAACGACGGAGACCGAATACCGAAGATCCAAGAACCACCTCCATGTCTTGATGAACTGTGTCGAGCCAGGTTTTGAACTAACCCCCTCATCGACGCCTCCAATAGGGCGACGGTGCCGGATCGAGGGCAGTAACACTGAGCTCCTGAGGTGGACGACGAAGAACATGCCCGAACCACCTCAGTCGTCTTTCTTGGACGGCCTGAGTTATCCTTGCGATGTTGTCGCAGCCAGCGCGGACACTGTCTCATTTGAGACGAAGTCGGTGAACTTCACTCGAAGGATGATCCTCAAGCGGTGGTGGTCAAATATCTCCAGTTTTCGCTCGTCCGCCACGCGCAAGGCCCAGCATTCACAACCATAGAGAAGGACAGACCGAACAGATGCACGGTACACGCGAATCTTAGTGGGTATGGAGAGGTCACGTCGGTTCCACAGGCATTTCCGAAGACTTCAGAAAACCCAGCGTGCAGCATCGATTAGGGAGACAATGTTGTCTTTACTGTGCTAATTAGGCAGCAGCCTCGCCCCAAGATATTTAAAACTGTCTACTTCTTCAAGTTGACAGCCATCAATCCCGAGGGGTGCCTTCTCCTGGTCAGGGATGCAGCTTGAGAACACTTTGGTCTTCCCAGCGTTTATGGACAAACCGTCCGATTTAGCGACCTGGTTCACCCGTGACACCATAGACTGCAGACCACCAAAACTTGAAGCAAGTAAGGCGATATCATCGGCATAGTCGAGATCAGTCAGTCGATGTCCGGGTGCAAATTCTACGCCGTCACTCTCGCATAGGGCCCTCCCAAGGATCCAGTCAATAGTGTAGTTGGGCAGTATGGGTGACAGGATACAACCCTGTCGGATGCCAGACCGAATACCGAACGGTTGGGAAAGATTGGTGCGGACCAGAACTCTCGCAGTAGTGGAGCGATAGTAGGCCTTGATCATGGCGATGATTTTTGCCGGTACACCACCTAGCGCCATTATCCGCCACATGGACTCACGGTGAACGGAATCGAACGCGGCGGCAAAGTAATGAAGCAGACGGCCGTCGGTTGTTGGTAGCTATGGCGAACTTCGAGAATGTGCCTCAGTGTGAGTATCTGGTGTGCGCAGCCACGTCCAGCACGAAATCCGGCTTGGTTGGGCCTCGTCCTTGAGTCACGCACAGCCTGGAATCGCCTGAGTAGGACAATAGCGAAGATCTTCGCAGCAACTTCGATGAGATTTATGCCGCGGTAGTTCTCGCATCTCGTCTTATCTCCCTTCTTGAGGATAGGTACAAGGATGCCTAAGCCCCAGTCATCAGGAACAACCTCGTCTCTCCACGCTCGTTCGATCACCTCATGGAGCCAGGGCGCCAGAGTGTCGACACAAGACTTGAAGATTTCGGCGGGTATACCGTCCTCTCCGGGTGCCTTATTGTTGCGCAACTTTCGTATGGCATCGGCGACTTCTTCCTCAAAGAGGGGATCGCATGGTACTGCATAGGTAAGAGAGGGAAGAAACTCCGCTGAGGAGGAGAGCAAGGGCGATGTAGGTTGGGTATCGAAGTTGAGATGGTGCTCAAAGTGCTCACGCCAGCGCTCGACTTTGGCCGAGTTGTCAGCAATAAAGCCGCCGTTCACATCGCGAACAAAGTCACTCAGTGTAGAGGGCTTACCGCTTACTTGGCGGATCAGACGGTAAAGCTTTCGAGTGTCACCAACGTTCGAGGCCTGTTTCATGGACGTCGCTATTTCAGCCCAATATTGTTTCCGGTCATCCCTAGCCGACTTCGCCGTCATCTTCCGAAGTTGGCGGAAGCGGTCATCGTTGCGCGACCTGGCTCTAGCCGTCTGAGCAGACAACTGCGGGGTTCTTCCGCTGATCCAGTCACTGCGGCGTCGCTGGGTGTATCCAAGGATTTTCTCAGCCGCCCCATAGACTTCGGTGACGACCATTGGTTACTGACTTCTCCGGCGACTCGGGTACTAAAACAGGTCCGAGTTTCTCTGCTTAGGGCCTCGGCAGTGCTGGCTTGCCGGATTTTTGAGACATCGAGGCGTCTAGGACGTGTCATTTTTGGTGCGGATGAGAGATGAATTTTCAAGCGTGTACGGACGAGAACATGGTCCGACCCATGGGCGTTACCAGTCTCGGCACCACGCATCGATCTGCTATCATGAGCCCAGCTGCAAAACCTTGAGCTAACTAGTATGTAGTCAATCTGACTGGCCGTATGACCGTCGTTTGAATACCAGGTCAGTAGATGTTTTTTGCGATGCTGGAAACATGTGTTGGCGACAAGCAGTCGGTTTCGATCAGCGAAGTTCAGCAATCTCTCACCATTTTCGCATCGAGAGCCCAGCCCAAAGCGGCCAAGAAGATGACTGGTTGTGGGGTCGCCAGGTCCAGTTCGACCATTCCAATCGCCAGCAACAATCAGAAGATCGCGGCGAGGCAGTCTTTCAACTAGCGCTTGCAACTGAGAGTAAAACGCCTCCTTATCGCGCTGTTCGGCAGCCGAAGTTGGTGCGTACACAGCGACGATGGAGATGTTCGTGAAGTGACCCTTCAGTCGCACGTAGGCCATCCGGTCATTGACTGGTTCACGGGCAAGTAGCGCGAGGTTCGCTTGTTGTGATAGGGTGATCGCCACACCGTTTCAACCGGAAGAATCGCTCAGGCCGCTGTGGTACAGGGTGAAGTGGGATTCGACTCCCGGGATCTTTATTTCACGAGAGCCCGAGTCAGGGAGTCGTACCTCAGACAGACAGCAGACATCCACGTTGTACTGATGAAGGCTGCGTGCGGTCAGACTTTGGGTACCAGGGTCCAGGAACGTTCATACCTTCCAGCATCCAATACCGAGAGTCCGTCCACGATTGAGTAGTCCAGCTCGCATACTATTCGCCCGCACCACTGGACCAGGGTTGCGGAGCGCGTCGGTTCCGCGGACGTCGTAGCATGGGTCGTAGTACTGTGGTCGGACATGTTTCATGAGGTTTCTTGGGAATTTCGCATACGGGCGGGTCCCCAACGGCCGTTCGGATTGTTTGTTCGAGGTTGTCTCCTCTAGCACTTTGGCTTAAAAACCTAACCACAAGGCAGCGGTGGCAAGTAAACTTATTTAATGACGGTTTACGGTGGCCGTGTCACAATGCCGTCATTGGGTTTTGCGGCTTTTTATAAGGCTTTCAGCGTGCCAAACCTCAGCCCACCACACCCTGGTAGCAATGTCGCTGCTGGTCCGCGACTGCTTATTCATCAGACCTAGGTCTGCTTATTTCGCAGCTAACCTTCACTGAAGGTCGTCCCACTATCCGCCACCTGTGGACGCGCCGGGTAGCCAGCAGCTAGGCTAACGGACAACCCGTCAGGTCGTGTGTGTCACATGCAGTCAAACTCTTCAATTCTGTCAGTCACTGCGTCCGATCCCAGCGTCAGTTGGTTGACTGGTTTGGACAAGCAACTGGTGCATGCGAGAGAGAAGAGAGTGAGGCCGACTCTCGGCGTACATTCGTCGATTCAAACAATCTGACGTGTTTGAATCTATCACAGTGCGCTGAAAGCCGTGGCCTGGTCGGCTACCAGCCTACCGGATAAGTCAGTCCTTTCAGGACGAAGAATCCGGCTGCAGTGCCTCCTTAATGTGACCTCTATGGGAATCCGACTCAGCTGAGATCCAAGCCGCCTTTTTTCTCAAGCGTGTTCGGCCCCCTTAGTAGAGCTGTTTAGCCCTGTCAGCCACTGCGCCCAAGTCCGCCTTCGGTCTTTCTACCTCCGTCTTGACATCGGACCGCTGTGAGTGAGAGAGAGAAACGTGCGATGGATTCTGCGAGAGTCTACCATCACAATAAACTAATTCGCACGGACGTCACCGTTCCTACGCCCAGCCTGCTGTGGGACAAATGGTGGGCGGTCGAAATCAACGGTCAAACTGCCAGAGTTACGGACCGAACATACAACTGCTTATTTGGAATCAAAGATCACATTCAAATTGTTTATACGTAGCGATTCCTTTTATCCGTTCCTATCATCGGTCATTTTGATTCGCAGACTTTTTTCTCGGATCAACACGCGCTGATGTCTGGAAGGACCGCTGGTCAAATCACCTCGAATGTAGGTTTTCATTCCAGCCCATACCCCCCTCTTAACTGAGTCGTGCTCTGAGTGTTACTTCCTCTCTATCATTACAGAAACCCCAGGTTATCCGAGTCATCCTGACCGTCTTCTGATATTGTCTTTGGCCTCGTGTGCGTCTATTCCGGTGAAGAAACTGGGATAATACCAGTAAGACAAAGATGGCAAAGGCAGGTCAAATAAAAATGTTTACAGGAATCTAATGCGTGAATCTTACAGACAAGTCAGTATTGTTCCGTTCACGCAATCGTTGTGGTTTCTAACTAACGGAACACAGCCATATTATCAAACTGCAAAATGCCAAGTAACTTCTCCTAATGCTGGGAACTCCGAGCCAAGGGCTTAGGTCTGGTGATAAGCTTATCAGCGCTCATATTCGTACGCAAGACGTACGATGAGTATGCTTTTTGCCGAATATGCAAACCAATATTGAGCTCCAGCTTTCGTTTGTATAAACGCCTTTTTAGTCTTCTGATTGCACGCCTAATTTCAATAATGACACATAATGACAATAATGCCACATAAATGACTGCGCCTTTTCTTTCAGGTATCATCAGAGGGCGTATCCTTTATCATTTTTGAAAACCCTTCCAGTCCACGTCTGTGCAGAGTCCTCAAATGGCTGTCACATGTAGGCATTATGTTAGTGAGGGCAAATACTACAATTTTCAGATGGCAAAATCCCTCGCCTCTTTCCCCCAGGAATTTATTGTTGTGTCCCATGAGAAAAAGAGCCGTCATCATTTTAAGAATGGTAGACGACAGCTTTTGGTAGGAACTGGTCAACCACTCGACAGTTGCCAGGTACTACCATTTTGTGATCTTGGCAACCAAACGTTGCGCAAAGTGGGCTTTGGAAAAGTGCACAAACTATTTGCCTTGTTTATCAA